ACCATTGTGAAGCAAGATCAACATCTATTGCCTAGATACTATTCAGAATAGATTCCGTAGAGACGTTGTTGATCGCTCCAGAAATGTCCAGGAATGCTCCAAGAGCGTATTCCTTATGGGGTCTAATATGTGTTCCTGCATGTTTCCTCGCGAGACTTACAAACTTTTTGTTAAATCACCCTATTCCTTGTAAAAAAAACCCAAAAATCCAACAAACATAAGAAAGTATTAAGTAATTATAAAAATGCTTTAAATTTTTTTATATGACTCCGCGCCACCAAAAATGAAACAAAGTTCCGGAGTGCAATTATTACTCTCTTTTTTCGGCAAAGAAAGTGCCAACACGGCACAAGGTGGCAATGTAGGCGGCATGTCTGCCACTTTTTTGCGCAGTTTCTATTTTTTATTTTTATTTTTTTTTTGTGCTGAAATGTTAGTTTGTTTTTGTGCTTTTGCCGACATAATAGCCGCCTTGGGTCCGCCATTCAGCCAAATGGCATAATATTAATTTGCGCGCCGCACAATCCACAGGCCATAACATTCAACTAAAAAAATATATAGGCTTACATACATACAAATAAGCAAGCATATGTCTGTATATTCATGCATTGACCGGGATCTGCCTCTGTCTATTGTCGCCTTTTATAAATTGTGCATGTCCGCAAGCATATGCTGTTGCAAGTGAATATGCATACAATTATTTGCTCAGAAGTCGGCTTGACTCTCTACTTGCCTGCGCAAACATACAAACAAGCATACACATGAATTTCGCGCTTGTGGCAACGGCTTTGTTGATTGTCTATTTGTGGGCACAAACAGCAAAATATTTCTACTCCTCCATTCATTTAGGCAATTTTAGCGGTAAAGTACAGATGTTCACTTTTTGGTACGGCAAATATTCATATTGAATTTTTTTTACAGTTTTATGCAGACGGTAGTACGGTGTGTCATTTATTTTCATAGTTAACTCACACTTGAGATTCGGGATTTGTGTTATTAGCTGGAGTTTGTGATATCCGATGGCAGCGGATCGCACTTATGTAGAAGAAGCAAGCTATTTGTCAGACGATAGTTAATGAAAAAGTGAGTTTAGATAGAAGTGAAATTTCATAAAGAGCTGTAATTATACCCAGACCATCTCAGTTGTCTGTCTTAACGTCAAAAGAAGTCACATTTACATTCAAAACTTTTGGTATACAGTATAGTCTCACATAAAATTATTATTTATTAAAGAAAGTTTGATACATATTAAATATCCATGACTGTTTAGTATTACTTATTGAGACGCGGTTTCTGATTGATCCACAAATTCCTTGAAGGAATCATTTCAGTCATATTTACTCGAATCTAGCAAAGCTTTAATGTGTGTGCCTCTCTCTCTCGCCCTCTGGTCCTCTAAAATTCCTATAAGTGATTGCCGAAAGCATATCTACCCGAATCCAGAAAAACTTCAATAGCTCTCTCTTTCTCTCTCTCTTTCACTTTTCTAATATCTGTAATTATATCCACTCAAAACTTGAAAAACTTCCCTATCTATCTCTCTCTGATTTATAACGAACCAAATCCATGGATTGATGCAATGTGTGCTAAATGGCGCCGTCTTGTTGAAACCAAATGTCGGCGAGGTCACGAACTTAAATTTCAGACATCAAATAGTCGGTTGTAATGGTGCGATACGTTCTCACCGGCATCATTTTTGAAGAAATATGGGCCGATGACTATATCGACTCGAGATTTTCTGTATGAGATGGCAGCTCTTGAATTTCTTAAGATTGCTCTTCGTCTCAAATGCGACCATTTTGCTTGTTTACATACCCAATTAGGGCAAAAACGAGCCTCATCGCTGAACAGAATTTGCCTCGAAAACGCCGGATCATCTTGGAACTTTTCAAGAGCTTGATTTCTATACCGAATTTCATCCAACTGTGAACACTGTCAGCAAGTGTGCGTTTTAACTCGCCACTAGTACTGTCATATTTCCATGTCATGTTATTGATAGTGGCAATGGCATTGGTGTAATTGCAACACAAAAAATTGTAGAAACCGAACGCCTTTTGAAGTCTCATATTTTCCATGCACTCGGCAAAAATGGCATGAGCCGCCAACTATTTTCTTTTCATTCAAGAATTTCTTTTGGCCCATTTTCTTTCATAGACTCTTTTAAATTTTTTTGTTTTTTTCAAAGCGTCTACTTTTCAATGCTACTTGCTTTTCATATGATTTTTGCTTTTTTTAGAAAATACTGTTTTTCATTTCCGCTTGTAATTTATCCGCTGGCAGCACAGCAAAGACAAGGCTCTAACGTTAGCCACAAACGGGCTGCTTCGTGTAGGCGCATTTTTATAAATTAGGAAAGCGTATGAATGACTGTATGAATGGCTGCTATTAGCCGGCTGTCGCTTGTTGAGCGGTGTGCATTACACACTGCGGACGCCACAGTCAACGCCGTAATGGCACAATATGAAAAGTCTTAACATAGGCCGTGTGGCCGGCCAGTTATGGAATTTAATCAACACTATGCAAAAATGCTGGTGGAAGAGGTCAATTTGGATGTTTTGCAAGAAAGTATGATTGCTTGTTTTACATATATGTATATGTATATTCTTATATTATATATTAAAGAGTTTCTGGTATGGTGCTAGTTAGTTACCTTGTGTATTTAACTTAGAGTTCCGAAGTATGTGGGATGCCAAGTTGATAGCATGTGCGTTATTAGAATTGAAATCTACGAATTTGCTGAAGTGAAATTTTTTAAACAGAAAATATATGTTAAACCCTCTTTTAAACTATTAAACTATAAGAGATTAATGCAGAGTTAAGTGTATGAAAGTAATGAAATGTTTAAGCAATTTCAGTCAAACTCCGTGGGAATATTACATTTCACTATTTGCGCGAGGGAATGAGTGCTATTAGCTACTAATCCCATCCACGATAAACTTGCTTTAGAATGTGGGTAAATAAGAAATGTCATATATCACTACTTTTTTCTCTGATTTGAACTGAACTTCTTAACTCTGATTCCGACGATATTGAATATCTTCAATATCTATCCTTTCAGATATGCGGTATAAGTACCGATTAATTAAATATATCGTAATAATATTGTATAGCACCGATCTGTCACTGGGAATGAAAAATTTATTTATTTTAAGAAGCCTAAATGGAGAAATTCGGGACGACCATTAACATCAACTGCAAAAATAGAATGATTCGGTAAGAAGGCAACGATCTGTGCTTGCTGGGATCAGAAGGGTATGGTATATCATGTGCTCCTAAAAGCTGGTGAAATTATTAATACTAATCGCTACGGAGAATAAATGATAAATTGATCGAAAAACGATCAGAATGGGCCAGAAGACACGGCAAAGTAATTTTGTTACACGTCAATGCAAATGCAAACAAAGCAAAAACTCGTTTCAGGATATAATCAAAGTAATTGTTATCTACTGTTTAGGATATATTTTAAGCTAACTTCAACATGGTGTCAAACTGATCGGAAAGAAAAGAATTAACCATCCAAAATTAAATAGTTTTATTTACCAGGCAGTATAAATTTCCTGATGTCCCTCTCTCCACACTCGAACCGTTGCACCTTCCTCTTATTGATAAAGTCGAGTAACAAGAGCTTACCCTTTACAAGATCGGTTGCCATATACTTCTATAGAGAAGCTGTTCTGACGAGATAGGTCATTACATCAAATGTGATATTTTGACTCTATGAAAACCTGTACAACCAGCAATGTTTTATAGAAGCAAGTGTATAGTTGCGAAGCTCACTCAAAAAATCTGGGTACAGAAAAGAATTCAAACTGCAACATTCTGAAATCCTTCGCTTCGTGGTCTGGATCGCTGAAAACTTAAATCAATGTGTCGAATATTATACTCTTGATAGATTTTCCTCTGCTCACATACAGATGCTGTCACTTGTAGGTGGAGTAAAGTCACTGGAGAAGAGGAGCAGGGTAGTTTTTCACGGATGCGGTTTTTCACGGAGCTTATTGTTAGTCAAGGAATGTCTGTTCCCAGTGCCTGGTCATAGCGGAGTAGCAATCGATTTCATCGAGTTGGAAATCAGCGAAGACCCGTACTCTTACGCTCTAGCGCTGGACTCATAGACTTTTCGTGAACTTAGTAGGTGTTGTCTAACAACAACATCCTGTGCAACTGCGAGATACTTCTGGCTAGTGTAAAGCACAGGAAATCCACTAAACTACTTGGTTACAATATGATATATCTTCATACAATTTTAGCAGTTCTTACTGAACGTTGTCCAATAGCAGTACATGTGGTAAGGAATCTAATCGGAAATTGTATGGAAGAACGTTGATGGGAACATATAGGCAATTATCAAGTTTTTGACTGAGACTGAAATCTCACGGCAGTCATATATTCGATGAACCTGAGGAAGTGGTCGGCATTGATCTTAGCTTCTTAACAAATTTGTGGCAGATATAACGCGTTTCGTAGACTCTTGAGAGTACTTATGATCAGTACTTTGAAGTACTTAGGTTCAACTGAATTGGAGTTCTTAGCTGGCTAAGTTGTTCTGATTTTGAGCCAACATTTTAATCTATCTTCTGTGTTGCAGGTAATACTACAATTGACAAAAAAAGTTTGTTCTTCACGATCTTGATACTGTGAGTTAAACGAGTTATATACGAAAACAATTAGAGTACTCCACACAAAAAGCTTTGCTTCATTGCATATAACATTGCAAAGAAAGATTAAACTGAAGAAATTCCAGCAAAGTTGAATATTCCCGAAATATGATTTCAAAACTTGTAATTCAGTAAAGCTTTTGTTAGTTATGTTATTATCGATACTTATACCGTATTATAGATAAAACGTTATAAAGTGTCGAAATGAGATCTCTTTTAAGATCGACAATTTAACCCCGCCTAACCTAACCTATTATTATCGATTGCTTATACACTTATCTGTGCAAAATATTCAGTTCATTATAGTATTCTTTCTCTCTCTCCCTTTCTTTTCCTTTTCAGCCATTCACATGCAACATGGCGCAGTAATCACATAACAACAATTCGAAGCGCTTTAGACTAAAATAAGCTACTCGTGTTAAGCGTTTTGCATACCACACGCCCACCTTAATATACCAATACACAATCTAATTAAATTAATTCGACATTTGTGCAAAGTTCACGCTGAAAATCAACGAACGAATTGCTATTGCATACTTACTAGTTGCCAGTTAAAACGTTATGCCGCTAGCGTGCCGTTATTTTAAATGTTACTGCAACCGTTCAAGCGAAAACTACGTGCAGGTCTGGGACGACAACAACAGCAACAACAAGAGAAACAACTGAGGTAGCCGTAACAAAAATATACGCAACATTGACTTTGGCCTCGGACAGCGGGGACAGCAACTACAAAAATAACAATAACAACACAAATAATAGCAACAACAAACGCAATAAAAGTTGCACTAACAACAAAATAATGAAATCAGCAAAAACCAATAACAACAACAACTAAGCAATCAACCTTTCGCATTCGTTCATGCCACATTCAATATACAAAAACAATTGGGTGGCAACCTTTTTGCTGGACAACTAACTACAAAGTGTGCGCGCATAAAAACGCCAAATAGGGAAGGTGGCGCAAAAACAAAAACAAAAACAAACTAAAGTTCAGCGAACAGTGAATGAGGAAAGTCAAACGAAAACGGAAAATATCATAATATGGCTACAATAAAAATTCGACAATTGAATTCATTTAAATTGCAACAGCAGCAGCAGCTGCAGGAGGAGTTGCCGAAAGCCAAGTGCCGCGGCGCAATCGCTTTGCTGTTTAGCCGTTGTACGTATTGCGCAACAAATTATTTGAAAAGTTATTGCCGCATTAAGCGTCATGGTGTTAATAAAAATAAAACTTTATGTTGGCTGACATTGACTTTGATTTTATTGAGCTGCAGCAGTTGGCATGGACGGCGCGGCGAACGTGGTGGCGGCGGTGGCGGTGCGTTCTGTTATGCGCTCGATATCGGTAAGTGCTAAGTAAATTTACATAAATACACACAAACATACTGAAATACCCTTCACGATTGCAAAATATGAATAACAAGCGCTTGATTTGGATCGGTTAGTTTGTAAGGCACCTATATGCTATAGTAGTTCCATCTAAACCATTTCTTTGGAGAATAAAATACTAGCTTAGGAAATAACCCGTGATAAATTTCGTGAAGATATCTCGTTAAATAGAAAGTTTTCTATGCAAGAGTTTGATTTTGATAGGCCAGTTTGTATGGCAGCTATAGGCTATAATAGCTCGCTCTGCAGAATATCTTAGGAGATTGCATTATTACTTTAGACAAGAATTCATGCTAAATTTTGTGAAGATATCTCGTCAACTATCAAAGTTTTCCATATAATACTTTTATTTTGGCTGGCCAGTTTATATGGCAGCTATATGCTAAAGTAGTCCGATTTAAGTAATTTCTTCGCAGATTGTGCTACTATTGTAGATAATAATCTGTGCCAAATTTTGTGAAGATATCTCATCACATACACAATTTTTCCATACAATAATTTGATTTTGATAGATCAATTTGTATGGCAGCTATATACTATCGTGGTCCGATATCGGCGGTTCCAACACACAAGCAGCTTCTTAACGGAAAAATGACGTGAGCAAAATATCAGTTCGATATCTCAATAAATGAAGGACAAGTTCGCGTATATACAGACAGACGTAAATTAAGGCTAAATCGACTTATCTCGCCATGCTGATTATTTATATATGTACATACATATACATACATATATTATTTTTTCTGAGTATAGTCTCCGACATTAAGGGTGCTACAAACTTCATTGCAATCTATGCAGGGTATAAAAATACATACCAATAGCCGCGTATCGCCCATACGCCAATCCCCTTCTGACTTTGCAAATATTTGCGTTTAATTGCTGCCTTTTTGTGCGCAATTTTATTGCTACTGCCGCTATTTTGTAGCAATTTTTAGAGCCATCAGGTGCACGCTCCGCATACAATGGTGGCAACATTTTATGCAACATTTCAATTGCCAACAAATTGTATTCAAATTGCATATAATAACTTCGATACTTTCGGCGCTTATAGCTGCAAGTTTATGTTGAAGTTTTGTAGCTGTTTTGTGTTTATTTAATTACATAATCAATTACCTGGTAATTGGAAGTGAATGATGTGTGATGATCTCAATTGGCGTATAAAATATGTTAGGTGGTGTGAAAGAGGCAGTGGTAAAGTTTGCACAAGTGAATGTATAAATAATTCAGTTTGGTGCAAGTGGAGCTCAAAATGCAAAAGTTTCAACCAAATTTTGTTCTGAATAAAATAAAGTCAATGTATTTGAAACAATCTGTTTTATGCCTTTAATATCAAATTTCAAAAACAATGTATGGTTCTAGTTCACATCGCCTCTTGCTTCGGCAACTGCTAGTCGTTGATACGTCATATAGGCTGAAGAGCTCCTCTCTTCATAAAACAAAAATTGTGTGTTTTTTCTTAATCCTTTCGATCCGAGAAGCCTTTGAAGTAAATAAAACATATTTCGCATAATCAATACGCGTACAAATGAACACGTGTTTACTATTTAAAATGCCATCAAATACTGTTAATAATAGTATAAGCTACGAAATGGGACAAATTTAACTCTTTTTATTATTTTTTATGCTAGGCATCTTTCAAAAATACACCAGAACACATACGTTCCGGTTCGAAAGGGTTAAACGCCGTTAGTAATTCAAAATTATTGAAGGAAAGATTTTGTCGTCTCAAATAGGTTTATTGCTTTCGATGCGCAACTGATCTGTGCGGAGCCTATCAGAACACTTACGAATGATTGCTTGCTCTGAGTTAGACCTTCAAAATTCAGTCGCGATTGGCAGATGGGAATTCGATCGTGCGATACATCAACTTTGCTTTTGTATCCAGCTATGCACCATATACATATGTCTTATTATTAGCTGGCGTAGACACCGCTTATGCGGATATAGCCTACTTTACGAGAAGAACAGCGCGCCAGTCGTTCTCCCTTTTCGCTGTTTGCCACTAATTGGATATTCCAAGTAAAGCCAGGTTCTTCTACTTCCACTTCCCTCGGCGTGTACTACGAATACTCTCAGAACTCCTGTGGTTTCATCCATTCGAACAACATGACCCAGCCAACGTAGTCGCAGTCTCTTAATTGGCTGAACTATGACAATGCCGTTGTATCGTATGTAGCTCATCGTTCCATCGAATGCGATATTTGCCGTGGCCAACGCGCAAATGACCATAAATCTCTCGCAGAACTTTTCTCTCGAAAACTCGTAATCCTGACTCATCAGATGTTGTCACAACCTCTGCACCATATAGCAGGACGAGTATCATGAGTGACTTGTAGAGTTTGTTCTTTGTTCGTCGAAAGAGGAGTTTACTTTTCAATTGGCAAAAGCTATTCTGCGTTGGTTCTCGAGACTGATGTTGTTGTTGGTATTAGTGCAGTACCTTCTTCATGCAGCTTTGCAGCTCGAATTATTTTCTTAAGGAGTACATTGTAGAAGTCACATGTTGAGAGTCGCCTAATGTGAAACCTTTGTCGGTATCGAACGGCTCGGAAAGGTTTTCCCGCTACTGACGGAGCTTTTGGTATTGGTCGAGTACCAAGTTCAGACATAGCGGCATAAAGCTAGCTCCTTTTTGTGCTGTCAAAAGCATCTTTGAAATCGAAGAAGAGGTGTCTGTGACGATACTCTTTTCACGGGTCTTTTCTATGATTTAGCGCGTGGTATATACGTTTGTAGAGCGGAAGCGTTTTTGACACCACAATTACCGGAGCGGAATGAGTGAAACCAAAAATAGAGTACCAGATTTGTACAAAAAAAAAAAACATTTCCTTTGTCGAAGGAAAACGGAAAAATGTGGGGAATTTTCTCTTGAGGATTTCATCTTTGAAGTAGTCTCCCATAACCACAACCACAAACCTGCCTGGAAATTTGTTTTTTAGTAGAAAACTTTACGTTTCAAATGTCATATAGCGAAACCGAAACATGATTATAGGTATAAGTAATATGAGCTAAAATTTATAAACAAATCCCTTGTAATAAAAATATATATCTTTGTAAGTAACCTATACACGTTCTGATATACTTTTATAGTATTTAGAAAACAGGAAAGTTTAGCAATAGCCTTAAGATCCTTGTCACTTTATTACATATATATGTATGTATATTTTTGCCTTAGTTATTGAATATTCGGAAATTTTGAAATATTGGAAATTTTGAGAAAAAATAAATTTATCAAAATTAAAATATTTAAAAAATTTTAAATGGATTATAATGTACTTATGAAAGTGTTGTACACAATAACATAACACAAATTCAATTGTATGCACATTTGAGGAGAAAGTGCTGATATTCCCTTAGTATTACACAAGCATTAGCCGCTAACTCGTTGACCTACTTCCCACATAAATCTCCAAGGCACACAAGCAGACCGCCCAATGACATCAAAGGGGAGGAAAACGAGGACGCACAGCGGCCGAAAAAGACTAAATTGATTTTCATAATTAAATATAATTCATTACCAGCAATCTGTCATGCACAGCGTTCATCAATATGCAATACAGCTGGGAACTGTACCAAACAGACAGATGCGCATTTGTATGTTGATATGTATATTTGTGTGTGTGATTTGAAAGCAACGCGCGGACAACAGTTTGCTAAGTTGGGGCCAAATGAATGATGAAAAGTTGGAAAACCAGCCAAATGCTATACTTGTACATATATATGTTGTTTTGTAAGTGTATGACTGAGTGATTGCAATAATTGTATTTATTTGTTTATATATACGAGTATGAGTGCATGTATTTATCTAATTATTTGTTTGTTTGTGCGCTATATAAGCATATAATTAAGTAATTGCGTTTTGTAAATGAGTTTTTCGGCTTGTACTTCAACACATACACGCAAACATACACACAGCCTTTTGCGGCCTTTCAGTAAACTTGTTTATTTTGTATTTATGATTTTACGTGCTTGCAAGGGGGCTTGCCTTGGCACCCCAGTCAGACGAGAAGATGTTGATTAAGTGGGCTGCTGACGGCCAGCAGATTTTCTTATTTCAATTTTTGTTCTTCAATGGTTTTTTTTATTTCAAAAACAAAAAATGTTTTCAACACAGCGCCGTATGACCACTAAGATGGTGCGTAGTTTTAATATCCTGAACATGATTTTAGTTTTCTAAGAAGTTTAAAAATCCTTAAGAAAACATCAGAGACCCTACATATACATATACATATATCTTTATATACAAAATAATAATTAATATTAACATCTCAGTCGATTTAGCTATATCTTTTTGTCTATCGCCAAACCCTACATCTGTATATACTGAAACTAGAGTGTCAGTTTTTGGGATATCGGCCTGAAATTCCTCACACGCCCAACTTTTTTCAATAATATGGTCATTTGTCGTAATTGTTGATATCGGACTACCATAACATATAGTTACCATATAAACATATCGGGTAAAATACAGTCGTTGTATAGAAAGCTTTTTTACTTGACAAGATATTCTCATGAAATTTGGCTCAAATAATTTTCTGAGGTAAGAGTATAATCTCTGAAGAAATTGTGCAGATTGAACTACCACAGCACATAGCCGCCATACAAACTGATGAATCAAAATCCAGGCGTTGTCAGAAAAACTTTTTTATTTAACGACACATTTTCATGAAATTTGGGAGATATAAGTTTCCAAAACAATGCAACAATTCCTGCAGAAATTGTTTGGATCAGACCACTCTAACATATAGCTCTCATATAAAGTGAACAATCAAAATTAAGATAAAATACTTTATGCTGCGCCAAATGCACCTGTGAAGGGTATTTTAGCGTCGGTGCAACCGCAGTTAACTTTTTTCGTTGCCTACCTCTCTTAACGGCACGTTGCTGCTACAACTTGTGCCACATGTTGCGCAAATATGCTTGGCAGCTCAACTAAGCGCGCCAAATAAAGCTGAA